TCTCTCTCTCTCTCTCTCCTCTCTCTCTCCTCTCTCTCTCTCTCTCCCTCCTCTCCTCTTCCCTCTCCCTCTCCCCTCTCCCTCTCCCTCCCCCCTCCCTCCCTTCCTCCTTCTCCTCCTCCTCCCTCTCTCTCCTCTCCTCTCTCTCTCTCTCTTTCTCCCTCTCTCCTTCTCTCGCTTCTCTCTCTCCCTCCTCTCTCTCCTCTCCCTCCTCCCTCTCTCTCTCTCTTTCACTTCTCTTTCTCTTTCTCTTTCTCCTGCTATCCCCTCTCCCTTCTTTTCTTTCTTGCTTTTTCTTTTCATTCCCCCTCCCCTTCTTCTCTTTTCTCTCTCTCCCTCTCCCTCCCCTCCTCCTCCATCTCCCTCCCTCCTCCATCCCTCTCCCTCCCTCCCTCCCTACCTCCCTCTTCGCTCTCCCTTCTCCTACTCTCCTCCTCCCTCCTCCTCACCATCTCTCCCTCCCTCCTCCTCCCCTCCCATCTCCCCCTCCTCCCTCCCCTCCCCTCCCTCCCCCTCCCCCTCCCTCCCCTCCCCTCCCCTCCCCTCCCTTCCCTCCCTCCTCCCTCTCCCTCTCACGCTGTCACATCGGAAAGATTTTAGTGCTACAGTATACACGCACGCAATTTATAATGCTGATATCAGAAATTCCGAGTAGAAAAAATCTAGATAAGATAAATCTCAGAAACTCCAATATCGTGGATTCCTTGACACGTTTTAAGTAGAACAGCATTTAAATCATTTCTGCGAACGACAGTGTAGCAATTCTTGTTTTAGATTTTTTTTTTCTTGCTTGCCGTTTTATTTTCTCAGAATGAAGAATCATTATCTATCAGTTACCAAGCGAACAACTTTTATGAATTGCGAGCGAGGTTCACTTATAATGTTTATTCTCAGGTTGTCATGTGTTTAAGCGAGTGGAAACGAGAGAGATAAACTCGCCAGGCTGTGAAATGGGAGGCTGAAAAAGCAGGCTATTGTTTACCATTTTAATAACAGACGGTGATGCTGAGCTGAGTGCTTTGTAATGTTTGAGGTGGCGTGATTCTGAAAGTTCTGTTTTATTTGTATGTATATGTATTAGAATTATTACACCATGCTATTATATATACATGTACACACACACGCACACATACGCACGCACCGCACGCACGAGTCAAGAATCATGTTATTTTTTCACTTTTCACACCCTTTGCTTATCTGAATACGTTATAAAATACAAGTCAAGAAGTACCTACAAGCATTCAAACCGCTTTTAAACTCATAAGGCAGAATCCGCACTGAAAAATATTCCTTGAATTCTAAATATGGATGTAAACAAAGTACGGCGTCGTCTGCTACGCTCTCGGGACTACAGTATTTTGCGCCACACGAAGACTACTACAAGTATCGCTACACAAGGTCTAAATGATTACTTATATATGTATATATATATATATGTATGAATATATATACATTGGTAAAATTTAGCTTTGTTTTTTTTATATTGTTTATTTTCTCGTTCTTTTCACTTTGTTAAGCCGTATTAAAAAACTTTTAAGACTACTTTCTGCAAAACTGCGAACTTTCTCTCTCTCTCTCTCTCTCTCTCTCTCTCTCTCTCTCTCTCTCTCTCTCTCTCTCTCTCTCTCTCTCTCTCTCTCTCTCTCTCTCTCTCTCTCTCTCTCTCTCTATCTCTCCTCCTCTTCTTCTCTCTCTCTCTCCTCTCTCTCTCTCTCTCTCTCTCTCTCTCTCTCTCTCTCTCTTCTCTCTCTCTCTCTCTCTCTCTCTCTCTCTCTCCTCTCTCTCTCTCTCTCTCTCACTCTCTCTCTTCTCTCTCTCTCTCTCTCTCTCTCTCTCCTCTCTCTCTCTCTCTCTCTCTCTCTCTCTCTCTCTCTCTCTCTCTCTCTCTCTCTCTCTCTCCTCTCTCTCTCTCTCTCTCCCTCTCTCTCTCTCTCCTCTCTCTCTCTCTCTCTCTCTCTCTCTCTCTCTCTCTCTTCTCTCTCTCTCTCTCTCTCTCTCTCTCTCTCTCTCTCTCTCTCTCTCTCTCTCTCTCTCTCTCTCTTCTCTCTCTCTCTCTCTCTCTCTCTCTCTTCTCTCTCTCTCTCCTCTCTCTTCTCTCTCTCTCTCTCTCTCTCTCTCCCTCTCTCTCTCTCTCTCTCTCTCTCTCTCTCTCTCTCTCTCTCTCTCTCTCTCTCTCTCTCTCTCTCTCTCTCTCTCTCTCTCTCTCTCTCTCTCTCTCTCTCTCTCTCTCTCTCTCTCTCTCTCTCTCTCTCTCTCTCTCTCTCTCTCTCTCTCTCTCTCTCTCTCTCTCTCCTCTCTCTCTCTCTCTCTCTCTCTCTCTCTCTCTCTCTCTCTCTCTCTCTCTCTCTCTCTCTCTCTCTCTCTCTCTCTCTCTCTCTCTCTCTCTCTCTCTCTCTCTCTCTCTCTCTCTCTCTCTCTCTCTCTCTCTCTCTCTCTCTCTCTCTCTCTCTCTCTCTCTCTCTCTTCTCTCTCTCTCTCTCTCTCTCTCTCTCTCTCTCTCTCTCTCTCTCTCTCTCTCTCTCTCTCTCTCCCATCTCTCTCTCTCTCTCTCTCTCTCTCTCTCTCTCTCTCTCTCTTCTCTCTCTCTCTCTCTCTCTCTCTCTCTCTCTCTCTCTCTCTCTCTCTCTCTCTCTCTCTCTCTCTCTCTCTCTCTCTCTCTCTCTCTCTCTCTCTCTCTCTCCTCTCTCTCTCTCTCTCTCTCTCTCTCTCTCTCTCTCTCTCTCTCTCTCTCTCTCTCTCTCTCTCTCTCTCTCTCTCTCTCTCTCTCTCTCTCTCTCTCTCTCTCTCTCTCTCTCTCTCTCTCTCTCTCTCTCTCTCTCTCTCTCTCTCTCTCTCTCTCTCTCTCTCTCTCTCTCTCTCTCTCTCTCTCTCTCTCTCTCTCTCTCTCTCTCTCTCTCTCTCCTCTCTCTCATCTCTCTCGTAAGCATGATTTACCAGATTTTCGGCCGACGTAAGACAAATAAATGTCGACAAAGCTTGAGTCAGCTTGTTTACCCCGGTGCATTTATGAAGCTGGTCGAGTCATCACTTCTGTAATAGCCATCTTAGTATTGTGCTGCTGTAGAAACTTCGAGAAAGAAATGAGCAGTATTCGTTACGAGTTTCTGGTCGGTTGGAAATCCATACGTGTTTTTCTTTGTGTATTGTCTGGAGGAATGAAACTGCGGGGGAGTGATTCGAAAAGATTCGTTTGGGGAATTTGAAGCCGTAAGAGATTTTTTTTTATGTTAACAAACCATGTGTAGTTGTAATGATTATAGTACTCTGTTCAAAATTCGTAGGCACACACATATACTCGCACGCACTCTCGCGCACACGCACGTACTCACACACATACACGTACACGCACACACATGCACGTGCACGCACACACATGCACGTGCACGCACACACATGCGCGTACACGCATACACATGCACGTACACGCACATACATGCACGTATACGCACACACATGCACGTATACGCACACACACGCAAACATACTCGCACGCTCACACACACGTACGCGCACACACTCAGCAGACACACAAGCAGACACGCAAACACACGGGTACAAAGACACACTCTTGTTATTATGATTCGAGTATCACGTTCCTTGTAATTTATGTCTGTTTTTAAAACTTTACTGAAACCAACCCGAAAGGACTTATCCAATCTAAACACATCACTTGAACCATAATTCAGTAAGGAGAAGACATATCAGAAATGCGGTAGGCCTACTCGAATTCAAATTTTCCAAGCAAGTAACGAGAGGAGCGAAAATGTATAGGCCTATCTTCGCCCCCTCCCCCTCCCTCCCGGTTTACGAATCTGCGAAAATTGAGCGGGATATGTTGGCATTTGCGAAAACATTTGGGGGGAATGTTCTGAGTACTCGCAGTTTAGGTTTTTGTTTGGCAATTAAGGAGGGCAAGGCGTGTGGGTCAGTGTTTCTTGATTGGAGGTTGGGGGGGGGGGGTTCTTGTAATTTCCAAGGGGGATTCGAACCCTAAGAGAAACGTGTATTACATATTATAATTCTTATTTTTTCCCTCACAACAAGAGCGTGTACCAATTACAAATTATACATGTTATTTTTTTTCCTTTTATCAAGAGCATGGACCAATTTTGAGTTGGAGAAAAAGGGAAAAACCGTCGCCTTTACTAACTCAATAGGTTTTTATGATCATAACTGAGTGTAACAGTTACCTTCCTAATAACAAAATATCTGCCAAACAAGTTATTCAGCAGTTAAGTAAAGGCTAGATCTCTTTCGCAACGCGTTTTTGCATATAGAATTTTTATTCACTTAATCAGCTTCGTCAATTATCTTTTCGTTAACCTGTATTTCCAATTTGTTGTAAGTGAAGGTTCGTTGCTAATGCTCGTAGAACAGACTGAGAAAACTTCTAATGGGATTGTACAGGATTTACTTCTAATATCCTAATTTCTTTTCGAAACAGATTAGATTTGCACTATCCAAATTATTTACCATTGGCTTACTATTTCCTAAGGTAGCCTCGGTTTTCCGTTGGAAACGCTTTGTCAGTGTTATTTCGCAGTGGAAGCTGTTGGCACGATCCGGTTTCA